GTGAGCAAAGTCACTCCAGTTTACAGATATAAATCTTTTTGGTGATAAGTGTGCTATATATTTAAGGATTAAGCAAATACAGCCATTTTGGGGGTTTGATGCAGACATCATTGAAATAAAAATGAGCATGGTCTAGATTTATAATAGAGGCACCACGTAGTACTGGTTCGTTCATACCTTTACTTGCCCTCCAGGTGCTCCAAATTTAGGGTGCTAAAATAAACAAACTTCAATTATTTCTGGTAGTGTTGAGCTAGGAACACAATGGAGTGGTTAGGCTAGAGCTTAACATGATCAGAAAAAGTGTCAAAAATTTTCTTGCTACATCATCCTAGTAATTATGGTATTTGACGTTTGAAAGCTGAATGATCTCCCTTATGAAACTTGTACACATACACAGTGCTCAGCATAATGAGTACACCCCTTTTGAAAAGTAACATGTTAATCAATATCTCAATGAACACAAGAACAATTTCCAAGTTTTTTACAAACCTGAGTGTTAGAGAACATTTGTTTAGCTCATTACATGAAAGTAAAGTTAATAATATAACTTAGCATAGAAAATCTTCAGTTTTACTCAAATTAGTTGATGCAAAAATGAATATACCCCCAAAAACAAAAACTACTACATTTTGCATGACCTCCATGATTTGTAAGGGCAGCACCAAGTCCTATAGGCATGGAATGAACAAGTTGGAGACATATTGCAACATCTATCTTTTTCCATTCTTCAAGAATGACTTTTTAGAGCCTGGATGGAGAGTGATGCTCAACCTGTCTCTTCAGCATTCCCCATAGGTGTTCGTTTGGGTTCAGATCAGAGGACATACTTGGCCACTGAATTACTTTCATCCTGTTCTTCAGAAATGCGCAAGTGGCCTTAGATGTGTGTTTTGGATCATTGTCATGTTAGAAAAGTGCATGACGACAAAGGACATGGAGAGATGACAGCATCCTCTTTCAATATAGAGCAGTACATCTGTGAATTCATGATACCATCAATGAAATGCAGGTCACCGACACCAGCAGCTCTCATACAGCCCCACAGAAGGATACTGCCACCACCATGTTTCACTGTAGGCACCATGCATTTTTCCTTGTACTCCTCACCTTTGCAGCGCCATAGTTTTTAAGCCATCAGTTCCAAAAACAGTAATTTGGGTCTTAGCACTCCAAAGTACAGAGTCCCAGTAGTTATCTTATTTTTCAGCATGGACCCTAGCAAATTCTAAGCGGGCTTTTTTGTGCATGGGCTTTAAGAGAGACTTCATTCGTGGACGACACCCATGCCTTTGCAGTGTATGCCGTATTGTGTCATGGGAAAATCACCCATTTGGCTTTCTACTACTTTAGCCAACTGCAGTGAACTTCCATGGCGATTTTCTTCAACCCTTCTCATCAGAAGATGCTCCTGTCGAGGTGCTGACTTTAGTGGATGGCCTGGACATCTCTGTGAGATGGTTGCAGTTCCATCTTTGTTAAAGTTTTGTATAATTTTTGCTACAGTATTCTGACTAAGTAAAGCTTTGCTGATCTTCTTTTAGCCTTCACCTTTCTTGTGTAAAGAAATTTTCTTTCTCGGGATTTGTGACATTCCTCTTCCATGTGGTGCCTTTGCTGACAGCATAAAATGAGAAGGGGGTTTAAGTAACGCACTTTTATAATCAACGGTCTGCTGGACACCTGTTTAAGGTATAATTAGACTCACCTGTAGTCGAGTTCCTGTTAATTAGGATTTTGTGATCTAAAATTTAGCTTTGCTCCTAAGACTTTCATTGGGGTGTAATCATTTTTGCAACATGGTCTTTAATGAATGTTAGGAAAAATACTTTTTTGTACGTGCAAAATAACAAATCTTGTTTGCAATCAATGGCCCACAATTGTGGGAGTATTTTGTAGTATAGTGTCCCATAGAAAATGTTGATTCTGAAAGGAAAGTAAAGGTTTTTTTTTTGACAATTCTGTTGGGGTGTACTCATTTATGCTGAGCAGTGTGTGTGTATATATTTTTTTTTTTATACAAAACTAGGAGCACAGAGAAATAACTACTCATGAATGTATGTGCAAGCATCTCTTGGTGCCTGCATTAGAGTAAGTTTCTGAATACAGGTTTACTTTAAGTAGGTGACAGTCTATGCCAACAGTCATTGTTGTCATGTACAGTGGTTCACATATAGTATTATCAGTGTAACAGGTACCTTCTAATAGTGGAATTTGTTGTGCATATTGAACTTTATCTCTGGAACAAAACAAGGATTAAAATTCCATCTTATATTTTAATGACATTTTTTTTTATAAAACCATTAACATTCTTTTCTTCCAAAGTACTAAAAGTCAGTTACAACATCAATTGCCGAAAATTAATAGGCAATACCAGGCAGGACATCACTTGCCAACATCAAGGCATTCCTGTCAATGTGTATAACGTATCCAAAGCCCATATTCACATTATTATCCAAGTACTACTTTAAAATTTCTGATGCAGCAACATATTTATTCAATTTATAAAGGTCATTGAAGTAAAGTTCTTTATACTCAAAGTGCAAATATAGATATACATGTGGATCCCATCCATATGTAGTCAATGAGATGCAGATAACACATGGGTTTATTCAATATGAGTGCAGTAGCCAATTTGAATTATTCTTTTTCCTGAAACTCTTTCATGAACTAAAATGTGTCTTGCGGTTATGTGCTGCAGCACATAATTATTGCTCTTTGCACTACAATATCCCATAAACCCTAAACTGTAAACTTTTATCAACAGGTGTGTGTTCACACATGCATGCGTACAGGCACACAGTTTCTTGTTGGTAGTGTATGTAACAATAAAGCTGGCCATAGAGTTTTCGAATCTCGGCTGGTTCAGCAGGGACTAGCTGAGAATCGAGCCATGTATGGGCAGGATAAATGTACCCATATTGACTGATCAACTTGGATACAACCAGCCTGTCAGATTTTACATGCAATTATTACCACTAGCAGTAATCACAGTGTTCTTGCGTTGGGGGTTGCTCCCCTCACCGGGAGAGCACATTGGCTCCCCGTGGCTGGAGGAAAGAAAACCACTCCCATCTATGGCCAGCTTAAAGACCAGTGTCAAAAGGCTTTTGTTGATTTTCAGAATGGTTTCTCCCCAATACAGTCTATGAGAATGCAAAAGTAGCTTGAAACAGGTCAGAAGGAGGTCAACTGCAGGTCACCTGCAAAGAATTCTGATTTATCTCAGAAGCATCTCAAACTGACGTCACAAGTAAGTTGCATTTGCCAAAAAAAAAAAAAAAAAAGCCAGTTGAAACTTTCTAAGGCCTTATTCACACTGCGATTAGCACACACTGTGTTTTCAGCAGCAATAATCTGTGGACTCCTGTTGCTGGAATGAAAACTGTGTGAGAAGAGTTGTTGTTGAGTCTATACAATGCAAGGAAAGCTGATGGTGGCCACACCTATCTGTGACCTGCGGTTAGGGACAGATGATCATGGCTGGGCACAGTCTGTCTGCATCGAGCCATAATCATCTGTCCCTAATCACAAGTAAAACAGAAAACATTTAGGTCCCACAGCTACATAACTTGGGCTGTGCATATAAATGGAAGAAATTAAGAAAACACAGTTTCTGTTTTTAATGATGACTTGGGGGCTAAATTGTTACTGTAGAAAAACATCACTAGGTATGAAGCTATTTCAATGCATAAACATATGTATGTTAACATAACTTTTCTGAATGGTCTTAAAAGGGCAATGTCACACAATGCAATTATGCAACAGCTACAAACTGTTCTCATTTGGAAGCCTGTTAAGAAAATATGAAGTGGAGCCGACAGCAGTCACCAATCATCTTAAGCTGCTGTTATCTGATGTAGCTGGTGATGAATATGTAACATCTGTGATTTATAGCTGCATGCACCACAGTCTGCTACAATTTGCTACATAAAATAATGAGAAATAAGTGACTGCTAGAAAATTTCCAGTATAAAATTGGCAGTGTGTCATAGCCCTTACTTAGAGGAATTCGGCTTAATAAATCTACTGTGCTACCATTTAAAGAACTGACCTCATGACTAATACAAATATTTGTATGTGGCAAACAATAACAACTGTCAGCATTTTGTATGCTTCAGACTAGCCATATGATAGATTAAAAAAATTATCAATCTTATAAAAATGCAGATGAACCCTCTAAAAAAAAAAAATTCATATTCAAGAGCTTCTATGTCTCCTTTATAATAGATTTGTGATATGCAGCAAGGATGTGGGCTAGGTTTACTAAAGTGCAAAAAGCCCACCAAAGGACAACCCAGTAACTGCTCCAATACTGCTGTGACTAATAATTTACATCTTTCTGAAAACGGACACTGTCACATTCTGACTATTCTAAAACCTCTATATACTATGTGAACCACATTGCAATACTACCTGTGATAGATCTTAGTATTTCCTACTACGACAATACGCAAAGCATTTATCACCTTCTCTAATCCAAAGGACATACTGATAAGTCACTTTACTGTTTCTAGGTGTTACAAACACTAAGCAAAAAAAAAAAAATAATACGGCAAAAGTGCATACAGGAGCTCACGCAAGTCAATCCACCATACCCATGTCTTGCCACACATGCAATGAACAGTTTTGCCAACATTGTGCAGCATTTTGTCAGATGGCACCCTGACTCCAGATTATAAGCAAGCAAGGTGGGTACTCCTGCCACTATCTTCTCATACATTGCTTAGAACTCCAAAATCAGTTACACAAATGTTTATTATGCAGGGCACCAGCAACGTTTTGTAAGTATATATTGCAACGTGTTGGATGCCCGTGGTTGTCTTGTAACAGTCTGTTTCTATGGGGGTTTCAGTTCTTGAGGATAGATCCCACAGTCACTGCTGAAAAGGCACCTTTTGGAGCACGAAAACTATACAACTAGATACTGCAAACAGAAGAAACAGACAATCTTCCACTCCATGATGGACGGTCTTTAGTTTTGTCAGACATCTACAGTATTATTGCTCACTGACTTGGTCTTCACTCTTCTTGTTAAGATCCTTGTCAACCCTAGCAGAAGAATAAATGCAGGAATATTACATTTTGTGAATTAAAAATTTCTAATGTGACTAAAAAAAAAAAAATCAGCTTTTTTTCATTATAACAAACACCATGTTTTCTGTGACATTTGTGTTAAATATATGGTAACCAATGAATAGTTCTCTGATGCGCATTAAAAAACAAACAGAAAAAAAACAGAAGGATCTCTGATGATGATTCACCAAGCCTAAAAGCCTTAAAGTATAACTAAAGGCAAAACTTTTTTTTAGTTTTGGATAGAGTGGAGAGGGGTTAGAACACCTGGAATTTTTTTTTCGTGGTCTGTGCCCCCATTAGGGAGATTCACCCTCTCTATTTGTCCGGTTTACAATTATCATTGAAAGTGAAAGTAAAAGAAAATCCCAAATTGTGGGTTGTCTCCCAAAAGATACTAGTGAGGAAATCTTCCAATGGGGGCACTTGTTCTGGTGACCTGGGGGTCCCTGTGGAATTCCCTTAATTTGCAGGGATTTCCTCTCACTGTTTGGCTATAGGACAGGAAATGAAGGTAAATCTCCCCAATGGGACTCAGATGGGGGAAAAAATCGAATGGGTTAAAACACTCTCTTGCTCTATCCAAAATGCTAAAAAAAAAAAAAAAAAAAAAAAAAAAAGTTTTGCCTATAGTTCTCCATTACGACAAGTGCTTTATGCTTGCATTTGGTGAGTTACCTTTTGGCATTTTGTAGTCTCCAAGAACCAAATCATACAAGGTTAGACCAGTGTCTTTCATCAAGGACAAATTGCAAACAAAATTTAGGACATGCATGATTCATACATTATAACATATCAATACCAAATAACATTTCCAGACCTGAGAAGGTTAAACATTGGTAAACTAACTTTAGAAAATGCAAACGGTTCCACAAATTTTCGTTTCTACTTTTGGCTTTAATAGAAGTGCTTCACCTTAGCCTCCGAACCAAGGCTACAGAAATTTTCAAAGTATTACAAATGAGCACTAAAGTGCTACATATGTTATTTTCATTCTAAAACCTAATACACATAACAATAAAGCTTTTTCCAACTTTATAAGATAATGTTAAGTATTGTTTACATGTTACTTGGGTCAATTATATGAAGTTTTTCACAGTTTACCATGTAGGTAAACAAAATGCAATATAATTCACTTTGAAAATTAACCCGTACATTAGAACGCATTTTATGTACACATTTAAGCACCCACAGTGGGAGCATAGGGTGAACGTCAGACAGCCATGATTACCACCACTCTACAATTATTTATATTAATTCACATAGGGATTCAAGTTTTTTATTGTTTTTTTTTTAATCTATGTGCTTTTTGATATAAATGTGTTTAGAGCAGAACTCCATAAAACACCCATTTTACCCAAAAGGCCACATAGCCTTAATTTCTTTATATATTTAGTAAACTATGCCAAATTTTTATTTTATTTGTCTTAGGAAATGCATTATTTTAAGCCAGTTGATTGTGATTTTCAGCTCTTATTGCTGAAATTGACAAGACAAATAACGTTTAATGAATGGTCCCTTTTAAAAATGTTTATGCGACACCCGTGTCTGATATCCATGGTAATGTGAACTGTGTGTGGCAATTATACTTTCATAGGATGACAAAGGAGACGAGGCTAGAACAAGGAATAAAGACTTAACAGTGCTGTGAAATAGTATCTGCCCCTTCCTGATTTTTTTTTTGCATATTTGTCACACTTAAATGATTCAGATCAAACAAATTTTGATACTACACAACGATAACCTGAGTAAAAATAAAATGCAGCTTTTAAATGATTTTATTTATTAAGGGAAAAAAGCTGTTCAAACCTGCCTGACCGTATGTGAAAAAGTAATTATTGCCCCCAGCTCCCCCCCTTGCTAAATCATGAATGAACTGTGGGTTAACCACATTTTTTGGAAAGCGGAGTTAAATTTCACTTGCCACACCTAGGCATGATTATTGCCAGACCTGTTGAATCCAGGAATCACTTAAATAGAAGCTGTTTAACAGAGTGAAGCACGCTAAAAGAACTCAAAAAGCAACACATCATGCCGCGATCTAAAGAAATTCAAGAACAGATGAGAAACAAAGTAACTGACATGTAATCAGTCCAAGCGTTTAGCGCTTGGATGTATATTCATTTCATTGGACAGAGTACTTGCCAATGAAATGAAAAAACGCCAAGCACTAAATGCAGCTAGCACTTAAGCACGTTTACATGTGATTTTGCCGTGTTTGGCGTTTTTTTTGGCAAAAATGTTTCTCTCCTGAATGCGATTCTTCTACATTCAGGAGAGGGATGTTTAACTGCCCCTAACCTCTGCTGCTGCTAAACTCTGATAAAAGCCTATGGGGTTTATTTACTAAAGCTGGTTCACTCAGAATCTGGTGCAGCTGTGCATGGTAGCCAATTCGTTTCTAACCTCAGCTTGTTCAATTAAGCTTTAGCAATAAAACCTGGAAGCTGATTGGTTTTAATGCATTAGTGCACAAGATTCTGAGTGAACCAGCTTTAGTAAATAAACCCCTATGTGTGAATGAACTTATAGGCTTTTATTGAGTTGAGTTCATGGGGCTTTGGGGAAAAAACCTCCAAAAGCCAGCAGTGTACATGAGGCCAAGGCTTTGGGACTCTGGCAAACCACGGTGAGAGCCCTTATCCACAAATGAAGAAAACTTGAAACAATGGTGAACCTTCCCAGGAGTGGACGGCCTACCAAAATTACTCCAAGTGTGCAACGATTCATCCTGGAGGTCAGAGAAGAATGCAAATCATCTAAAGAACTGCAGGCCTCACTTGCTTCAGTTAAGGTCAGTGTTCATGATCCAAAAATAAGCAAGATACTGGGCAATATTGGCATCCATGGGAGAGTCCCAAGGTGAAAGCCACTGCTGTGAAACAAAGGCTGGTCTCACATTTGCCAAAAACATCTTGACTATCCCCAAGATTTTTGGGCAAATATTCTGTGGACTGATGAGACAAAAGATGAACTTTTTGGAAGGTGTGCATCCTTTTAATTATTCGGGTTATGTTTGTGCATTATTAAAAATGTGTTTGATGATCTGAATCGATTAAGTGTGACAAATAAGTAAAAAAAAAAAAAAAAAAAAAAAATTAGGGGGCAAATACTTTTTTCACAGCACTGTATAAAAAGGGAAAGGAGCCTGTTCATATGATACAGAGAAATAGGCCAAGACTGACAACATTTTAAATGCATCAGGTTCCTGAGGGAAACATTAGATATGTCATCATGCAAGGTAGGCAGATGTGTTTCTTAGTTATATTTAGCGAGTATCGGTATCTTGCATTGAATGAGACTAGAGCTGCTCTTTAATAAAGCAAACCTATGTTTAGTCTAAACTTATCAAAGCTAATATTTTAGTTGGGGCCAAGCAACTAACACCAACAAATACAGCTGTATCCTAAAAAAAAGGCTCCAGCATGCCCCAAGAGCAATCCCAGCTTCTTAAATAAATGGTAACTGTTGAATAATTGGCACATAAGTGCTAAACACACATGCTATACTATATACACTATATTGCCAAATGTATTGGCACACCCCTCCAAATCAATGGATTCAGGTATTCCAATCACCTCCATGGCCACAGGTGTATAAAATCAAGCACCTAGACATGCAGACTGCTTCTACAAACATTTGTGAAAGAATGGGTCACTCTCAGGAGCTCAGTGAATTCAAGCGTGGTACTGTGATAGGTTGCTACCTGTGCAATAAGTCCATCCATGAAATTTCCTTGCTACTAAATATTGCAAGATCAACTGTTAGTGGTATTATACCAAAGTGGAAGCAACTGGGAACAACAGCAACTCAGCCACGATGTGGTAGGCCACATAAAATGACAGAGCGGGGTCAGCACATGCTGAAGTGCACAGAAGTCGCCAACTGTCTGCAGTCACTTTGTTTCAGTGAAGGGAACTCTTTAAGGCGTCAGCATACCAAAACATTTTGGACAATTTCAAGTGTGGGGCTGGCCCTTTCCTGTTACAACATGACTGCGCTTCAGTGAACAAAGCAAGGTTCATAAAAACATGGATAAGCAAGTTTGGGGTGGAGGAACTTGACTGGCCTGCACAAAGTTCTGACCTCACCCGATAGAACACCTTTGGGATTAATTAGAGCAGAGACTGCAAGCCAGGCCTTCTCATCTGACATCAGTGTCTGACCTCACAAATGCACTTCTGAAAGAATGGTCAAACATTCCCATAGACACACTCCTAAACCTTGTGGACAGCCTTCCCGGGAAGAGTTGAAGCTGTTATAGCTGCAACGAGTGGGCCAATTCAGTATTGAACCCTACAAACTAAGGTTGGGATGCCATTTAAGTTCATGTGTGTGTGTAAAGGCAGGCTTCCAATCCCTTTGGCAATGTAGTGTATGTATGCTATACACAAAGTCATGGCCCATAACACAATGCATAGTGCAAGTATGCACAGGCTTTACATGGTAGTAAAGGCATGCCTGATCTCTGACTTTTAGGAAGTGAGATTTTATGTAAGCAATTAATGCTGGTCCTAAAGCATACTGAAGTAAATTTTTTGGTACGGTTTGTGCCTACTATAGCATTTGTTATTGTTATCACTTTATTAAACTAAACCCAGGATCACTTTTAGGATAAATGATTAAATCTGTGCTATGACATGGCTATTTTGTGTTGATTTAGAATGAGACCTGCAACTTCTAAGCTGGTAATAAATACTGAAATATGACCAAAACAGTCACAAGGCCAGGTAAATTGTTACTGGACTAAGGCATTCCCTGAACCCCAGTTATACCGCTTTGCTGCTGTTTTTAGGTATACTTATTAACATTTCTAAAAACACACACTAATAGGATTATTTCAGTACAAGTGTATACACTTAATAGGATCTAATAACTTCACATGCTACAAATGCAGCAATGTCAATGTACAGTCTTGAAAAGAAAAAGATTAAAATTAATCCATAAAGCAATATAACTAATGAAGAGCACTCTAATGGATTGTAAAATTATATATATATAAAATAAAAAAGTAATTGTCTTAAAAGTGACGGCAATATGTAATTGGGATAGTATGGGATGTCTGCATTGATTTAGCCCCTCAATTAAGTGGTGCATTGTTGATGCCAAATTTTGGTTAATGAAATGTAGCTCATGCAAGCTGTGTGATTGAGGATATAGCATTTTAATTACAGGCAAAAGAAAACTGCAAGATGAATATAAGTCATATCACTGACCATTGGCTGCATGAAAGCTAATGCGAGTGTGATAGACCAGGACCAGAAACATTCTCTATTGTGATGTATTGGTTAGCTTGAACCCTTGTGCACAGCAAATACAAACATTACACTATACAAGCAATATTTAACTTCACTTCTGCTCACAAAGATATAACGGAAAAAGAAAGGAACAGCCATGCAGTATTCATTTTATAACTGAAAAAACATGCTGAGAGTTCTCTTTAAGAGACAACAGGATGGAATGCATTTGCATCGTATTAATATTACGTCGTGCAAGAACGGTGCATTAAAAGATGCCATTCCAGGTGCAGGAGTGATTTATAGTAAACTATATATATGCTAAAACTTTATATAGGCTGAAAAATATATTTAAAGCAACACTTAATAATGTCCACAGTGTAAGGCTATGTCTATGGTACATGTTTATATTTACTAATGCGATATGGTATTCTGTAAGCCAACCAATAGGGGAAGGGTTAGTTAGTGCAGAAGATGGACTTGTCTCTGTGCAGCCTATTAAACGGTGTGCAGATACCTTTTGTTTTTCGTTTTACATTTTCCTTCGTCATACCTTAGTAGGAAAGAGTTGGAATTCAGTAAACAGAAAATTAAGAAACTGCTTAGGATAGAAAAGTAATACTAGTATCATAATTCACACATGTGTACATCAACAAACACAAGCATATCTACATATACAGCAATACTTTGAAGAACTAAATAAATTCACGCCCCCCCCAAGTTAAGTTCATGTGAATGGGCTGCTGTACCTGTGGAAAAAACAGGGGAAAAAAATTCCCCTCACCCTTTTTTCTTTTTAATCTGCAGCCACAAGGAAACATTTGGTGCTGCGGCACCATGAAATTTTATTCACCCGAAAATGCCATACGTTTTCTAATTCACGGGGGTGCCATTTATTACAGATACATACACACATATATCTAAAGTCCCTAACTTACATTCATACATACACATACTAGGGCCAATTTAGACAGGATTCATTTAACCTACCAGCATGTCTTTGGAGTGTAGGACGAAACCGGAGTACCCGGAGAAAACCCACGCTAACACAGATAGAACATGCAAACCAACAACCCTAGTACTGTCAGGCGAAAGTGCTAACCATTTAGCCACTGTGCTAAAATGGCACACCCGCACATCTGCTAAGGAGCAGCGCGTTTTGCCTGCGGGTCAGGAAATGCTTGCGATTAGCATGCATTCCCCAACCTGCATACCTATGCAGTTCCCAGAGCTAGATAGACAGTAATACAAATAATTAGGCAGGTAAAACTGCCAACTTACATCTATTTTATCTGTGTATTTAAAAGTTTTCCGGGAGTCAACCTTTAAAGGTAAGCATGTTGAAAATGCATGCTTAACCCCTTCACACCTAAGGGTAAAGCAATTCTTAAAGCCCAAGCACAATTTTGCAACTTTGACATGAGTTAGCAAAACTGTATATATCATCAATACTACTTTGCGCATCCAGGTGGATTATACCTTGTTTTGTTTTTTCAGGACAAATTGGGCTTTCATTTGGTGGTAAATGGTAATGGATAGCCCTGATTTTTTTTTTTTTTATCAAAGGAAAACTGACCCAAAACCGTAGAAAAAAAAAAAAAAAAACTTTTTGTAACTTAGTTGTATATTTCTTGCCACTACCATAACCAACCACCAAAGAACAACCCAAAATAATTTCTCCTGCTGCTGATGAACACAGCGATACCACATATGTGTATGTTAGTAGTTGTTTGTACCCATAGTACGGCCCAGAAACAATAGTGCACATTTTGATTTTTTTTTTGCCACTGATACGAATTTAAAAATTAAAAAAAAAATCTTGACCAAAAAAACCTGACCTTAGCACTGGCACTGACCTAGATCAAAACCTGACCAAGGTATGTTTATTTTTTTAATTATTTGTATTAATTATTTTTTTAAAAAAAAAACACACTTTTTCTCTCTCTTAAAGGACAGAGAGATACAATGTATCTCTTTCCTCCATTCAGAGAGAGAAAACAAGGGGGCAGGTGGTAAATGATCGCTGTGATATCCAATCAGAGGCTTTCACAACCTATCCTTAGCTTGAGTGATGCAAAAGAACCATTCATGGAGAACAAAGTGCACATCTAGGTCCATAATTTCTTCCTCGTTCTTGGGCATTGTCTGAATCAAGCTACTGTACAGTACAGAGAAGCTGCCATTGCCTTTATGGACCTGTGACAACACAGAAGTGGGGGGGAAAGAAGATTTTTGTACTTGCTATATCTATTTTCTTGAAAACTGTGGAGGGACAGGGGATTATAGTGATTCTTGGACATATGGGTTATACTGCCGACTTCAGAAGGTTTGAGCACAGGCAAACAAAAACCCTATTAACCAGCGCCCATGTAAACCTGCCTCCAACCGGCATGCCTCAGGTTTGTTAGCTAGCAGAACATAAGGTCGATTGCACAGAGGCGGGTACCTATGTCCTTCCAATGGACTTCAAGAAAAATAATTTTAGGCAACTATAAAAATCTTATATTTTTATTGCTGTTGAGGTACACAGGAATGCAATAATTCTTGGACACAAAAGCAATTCCACTGAGGGGTAGCTAACAGCCACTGAGAAATTCAATGGTGTGACATTTGAAAGGCCGTTTTTCATTTAATGCCTGTGCTGTTTGGACATTCCTTCTTATTTTCCAATTTTCTTTCTCTATGTTGGCCAGCAAAGCCTCTTTACTCATTCCTTCCTTCTTCACATCTTTCTCCTTACATCACAAGGTAATTACCTGCACTAAAATTATTAACCTGTGCTCAGGACTCTGTTAATTATGCAGTGGTGGACAGGATTATTTAAGATGCATAATTTCCTTGAGTTTGTCTAAGATATTTATTTTATACACATCGGTGTCTATACATATTGTATATACACCAATCAGCCATAATTTTATGACAACTGACAGATTAAAGAAGAGGTATAGCCAAAGCTTTTTTGGCTGTATGTTGTCTCCTATGGACCACAGGAGTGCAGTTCATTCCATTCAGTTCAGCCCACCGTCAGCTGACGGCAACAACCCACTGGGAGCTTGAGCCAGTCGCAACCCTCCCCCAATGGTTGTTGCCCATGAAAAATAGATAGAGTTTGTTGCGTATGGGGCTGCAGAGCCGTAGAGTGGCCAGGGTGCCCAAGCCGTGTCTACTGCCAAAAGTGTCTACAATGGCCATGTGAGCATCAAAAGTGGACCACAGAGCAATGGAAAAAGGTGGCCTGGTCTGATGAATCACATTTTCTTTTACATCACGTGGATGGCTGGGTTTGTGTCGCTGATCTTGGGAAGAGATGGCACTAGGATGCAGTATGGGAAGGCAGCCAGCAGAGGCAGTATGATGCATCAGGAAATGTTCTGCTGGGAAACCTTTGTCCTGCCATTTGTGTGGACGTTACTTTGACATGTACCACCTACTCAGTCATTGTTGCTGATCAAGTACACCCCTTCAAGGAAACAGTATTCTGGCAGAAATAGCCTCTTTCAACAGCATAATGCACCCTGCCACACTGCAAAAATGGTTCAAGAATGTGTTTCAGGCACACAAGTTTTAGGCGCTTACTCCATCCCCAAATTTTTAAAATTACAATCTAATCGAGCATCTGTGGGATGTGTTAGAAGAAAAAAAAAAAAAAGTCAGCTCCATGGAGGCTCCACTTCACAACTTACAGGACTTAAATAATCTGCTACTGATGGCTTGGTGCAAGGTACAGCATACCTTCAGAGGTCTAGTGGAGCCTATGCCTTGATGGGTTGTTTTGGCAGCAAAAGGGGAGGATAATAAATGAAAGATCATAACGTTATGGCTGATCGGTGTATTGTGTTGCATTCTATGATGTGTTCATTTTGTATGTTGTTTTATGTATCTATAAACAAAAATTCCACCCAAGATGTGGCAGGAGAGCCATACCTTGGGCTATAAACGTGGCTCACGATGGTTTGCTTGATGCAATCTACAAGAATTTACTGAAAATTGCTGCTGGTGTTCCAGACCAGGGCAGATAGCACCACGAAGGGAGATCGTTCTACTGAAAGAATGTTGGATCTTAACAGTAATGTGGATGACAGCCAAGCAACCACCATAAGGAAAAAACAGGTAGGAGAAGCTTGGACCAACCGGAAAAGTGGTCAAAACAAAAAATGTTTGTAAGGTAAAGGCTGAAGCCTAGAAAACCTAACCCTTGACCTCAGGGAAAGGAATGTATGTCCCAACCGAAGACTAAGAGAACAGCTTGGGCACAGTAGAATCCACACAACTCTTGACTTCAGGGAAAGGAAGTGCTATATTTAAACAGTCTCTTAATAGTAAGCAGGGAGTGCAGATATCCACATACTGTACCTTTACAATAGGGAAGGCAAAATGAGGATATATTGTAATGCAATAGACATATGGGAACCTAAGAAAGAGAAGGATGAGAAAGAACTTACAACTGCAAGAGCTGAGGCTTTCATCGCTTATCAACTATTACAGCTGTACTAGCTGAAGAATGCATATGGTCTTATCAGCACATCTCCGGCATTGAAGCGAGTTCTGAGAGCAGGAACCTTGAGTTTTGGGCATGCCACTGTTAAGTGTATGACCAGATACCTTTCCCTCAAAAGGCAAGTGAATAAGGAGTTCTTTAACCTCCCTGGAGGTATTCCAGAGTGTAGCTCGGGGTAAAGTTTCAGCACCAAAAGTGGTAACCCCGAGCTACACTCGGAAATACTTTGCAGCGTTGCTCCGGGATCTCTTCTTCACTTACCTTGTCCTTCGCTCCCGCGATGTCCCCCCTGCAGCGTCCCCGGCAATGTCCTCAGGCCAATGCTGGCATCTGTCTTCCGGGTTCCGTTCCCTGCGACGTCAGGACGTACAGGGACGGAACTGGTGGGAAATTTAAAAATGTCATTCACTAAATACACTAAAATCACATAGGAAAACATTACTGTATCAAACCATTTCACATACATTTTGTCCCTAGTGCTTTGTCCTGTGCCCTGCCTGCATTTTTACTGTTCTTTCTGCCTTGAAACCGAGAAACGTCCATGGCGTCCAAAAAGCGTCCCTTTAGGTCAAAATTGGTTTAAGACCAGCTAGAGAACAGTGATAGTAAATTAGAATCACTTGCAGAATTGAGTGATGATTCGTGGGGAAATTAGTCATCAGAAAACGATTTTGTGACTTTGCTCAGTGATGTGCAAACTTGGAGCTATGTTTCAAATTTCAGTGTTTTTGGTTTGATGATATTATTAAATTAAATCTATTATTTTTTATGATTATTTATTAAATTATAATTTATGATTTCGTGTTTAAAATTTTAACATACCCGGGATGTTTACTAGACTCTTGTTCGGACAGATTTCAGTGAGTTATTCCTAAAAATTACAGGCCTGCAATAAAAAAACGACATATTTCCATGCAAAAAAATTTACCACTTTGAGCACAGAAATACTGACATAATCAGACTGCTACGGAGGTTAAATGTATCCTCCATGTCCCAGGGAAACAGCCAAAGTGCCTCATGCATATGGACAAATACTGCTGCCTTATGAGACATCAACTTAGAGGACTCTAAGGGCTTTTATAACTGAAGTGGAGGGCTTCAATCAACCAGAGTGATAAGATGTCTTTTAAAGTGTTTCTAAAGACTTTATTTTTTGTCTTACAATTAAAAAAAAAATGTTATACTTACCTATTCTGTGCAACACTATTGCACAGAGCAGTCGCTTAACTTCTCTTTGAAAGTGCCCCCCTGGTGCTGTTCGCTCCTTCTACCTACGAGTGCTCCTCAGCAATCCAGGTGCTAATGGAGCACTCATGCGGTCCCGCTCGCGAGATGGACTGTGTGCATTAATAGACACACAGCCACAGCAAGCCACGCCCCTGCTCCATCTTCACAGGAATTTGACTCTTATGGCTCTCACTGCTCTCAGAGTTTCCCGTGAATCCAGAAAGCAGGGACAGCGCTGGATTAGTAACAGGAGTTAGGTGTTTAGGGATTGGATAGGGGGAAGCCTGGAAAACACCACAATATAGAATCCAGTACTCGAAGATCACGTACTTGTCTCATATCACGGTGTTCAGTGGTTCACTCAGAAGGAAAGTGTTCAGAAACTGGTCACCAAGAGCTGAACTTGGGAGGCAATTTGTGTCAAACTAGCTTAGTACACAAAGTGTATAAAACAAATTGCAGAGCTCAGTGTTCGAAAGACATATACCAAGATAGAATTGCCACATCCAGAGGCTTAAATACACTGGGAGACATCAGTTTGGGTTACACCAGAGACTGTACCAGTGCTCTGAAACTTGGGAGCCTTCTGTGGCCTACAGTACACATGGGTCTGAAAAGATCCACAATGCAGAGTTCAGTGCCTGAAAGTAATTTTGCAGTTGATCTTTGGCCAACTCAGAGTCGGTCTTCTGAGACTAAGTCACATCATAGGCTGTGCCACGGCTCTGGATGTGCCCCCGCTATTAATATTACACAAACATCTGTGAAGCGCCACTGGCCAGTACCCAAAGGTCACATTCCAGGCATGCCCCGCAAACTTCTGTCCAGCAGGGTCAATATGCAGCTTTCAAAGCTACTGCTCTGGAAAATGCAAATCTAGATAGAAGCTTTGTAGAGGAGACCCGCTCCCGGGAAATACTGGGAATGTTCATCAAGAGAGAAGCTTCCCTCAGAAAAGCATCCAACCTCTAGGGAGAAGTGTAGGCCACATAAAAAAACAAACCTACAAACTCACTTATATAGCTGCAGCATCAGTGTGATGCTGCAGCTGTCCCCCACCAGCTCGAAGAGAACTGAGCGGTCACATGACCGCTGATCGCTCAGTTCTCAATTTTACTTTACACTAACGCAACTAAGCAGAGCCCCGGGCTATATAGGGGGTTGAAACGGCAGGCTCAGGCTCTCAGCAGCACACCGACCTGACCTTAAAGTTGGGATCCTTCCAAAGACTGGGACCAGCTCTGTGGCATCAGCTGACAGAGAACCCATTGTCAGCTGAATCTGGGTCGCAGGAGTGCAGAAATAGGTACAGTCCTGTGACCCAGAAGATAAGTATGGCCAAAACAGTTTTGGTCATATTTCTCTTTTAATGTTTTTATTTTTTTGTTTACCACTATCCAAACCTCCTGAAGGTAGCAGTATAACCCATATGTCCAAGAATTATTATATTACTGTATCCCTCAATGGACAATAAAGAAAAGGCCACAGGTATAGAGGTTATATACTGTATGTGTTAAGCTGGTTGTGCTCTCTGAACAAATTAAAAGAGCTAAGGGCTGAAAAGAGAAGCATAAAAAAAATAAACACACAAACAAATAGGTTTAAAATGCCTTCAGAAAACTGTACGAATGGTTAATTTAATATAAAGACTATCACATACTGTTTTATGCACTCTGGTATGCTGACATACTCCATAGGAATAAGATCTGCCAACTCTGCCAGGCTAAAAACGTACTTAATTTTCTGGCTGAATTTTGAGCTAGAAAAAAAAAAAAGATACAAAAAGAAGACAAATTAACCATAATATACATAAAAATAAATACATAAAGTATATTAACATAAAATCAATTTTCATTACCTAATGAAAGGTTTAGTAATAGCTAAGAGAGTTCTGATGAACCATGAAGGATGAACTATTATGAGGGACTTCAGATTTTTCCTCAACCTGAAAACACAAAAAACAGAGTTATTGCTCTTCTACGTGCTCTTTTTATTCAAATGACTAACATGTATCAGACCATAACATTCATACAAATAGCACAAATAACCCCTCTCGTCTAAATGTATCTCCTATGTATTCTCCAAACCAACTTCTCAACTTTTGGTCATTCAAGGCACCTTTTAAGTTCAGCACAAATCTAGAGGCACCCCATTCTAAAAATGTCAAAAACTAAACTAACAATTTTCCGTAATGCAGCGGCATCAACCCTTGTAGGACACCCAACATTGGAGGTTATTTATTCTTACAAATGTCACACTGGTACTGACTAGGATTCCAGTGTTTCTTGTCTCCCTTAGTTTCTCACCCTCATTCAGCTGTGATCTCAGTGCTGCTGAATGAGGGTGAACAACAAGGATGTATTCAGACACCTGATGTCCTCCTTATCAACCTAAGACATCATTGGGTGTTACCAGCTGGCCCGCATGGTGACCACAGTTGTAAAGCTGCTCAATTAAAACATGGGGCTTAATGTAACCAAAAATGGCAGACTTGAAACCTTGCTGGCTTGATTGTTTTTAGGCAATTTTTAGACATTTTGCCAAGGCACCCAGAAGGCACTCCAGGGTGCCATGGCACCCTGGTTGAAAAAATCTGCTCCAAACTTCTCCTGAACAGCAGTCATAGAGCCACACAGTTGTTTTTACATTTTACTGCAGCATAATTCTCAGAGGCTTTCAAAAGGAAACAAAACTAAAAGCAAATACAAAATCATTACCAGTACTTTTTTTTTTCTACCAGCTTTAGATGCTACCTCACCTAACTTCTGCCATACAGTGTGAGATGTTTAAATTCTGTAAAAAGCAATTTTTGCTGCTTAATTACTAGTCGCACATTGTACAAATAAATAGTGAAAAGTGGTGAAGCTCTGTGGATTTCCAAGTCCAATCATATGCAAGAAAAAAAATGCTGTTTTTTTTTTTCCCTAGCACCTGATTGGATTGAAGCTTCACCACATTCACTACGTTCTGGGGAAAAGGAGTGCAACTTCACTTGCAAAGTGTACAGTCTATTTGTCTGTTAACGGCAATGTCTCTGAGTGAGAAGAGAGATATATTCCAATAAGTGACAAAGGAACAAAATGTATCTACAAGTAAAGTAGAAAAGCTCCTTCACTCACATGCACAGTACTTTAACTACAGATTTAGCAATACCAGTGCAATGTTTGGATGCCAGATTTAAAAATACACCTTACTTTTACCGAAAAAAAGAGGTAACACTGATACAGAACATGTTATCAGAGATGGAAGATGTACTTTACAAAATAATGTACTTTACAAAATAATCTACTAAAGCTGCACAGATAGGTATACTCAGCTGGTGTACAATGCTGGGACTCTTTCCTATATGTCCCTGGCTCTTGGTCTTGAGTGGAAGACTTCACAACACACATTTTGCTGCACTGTAGGTACAGCAGAACATCAGGACAATTAAAAAATGCTTTAAAAAAATTCCTATTCACTAAATGTGTTGTACTGCATGCCGCATTTCTGGTGTGCTGACCTGGTGACTCTTAGACCTAACCTTACCTTCTATCAATCTGCTGATAGCATTTCCTAAGCCATCCCAGACTTGGCATTTTCCTTCTTGTTGTGGCTCCATTTAAATAAACGATCATGTAGTTCTCTGCAACTAGCATTTCCAAAGTGCCGATAACATACCTGAAAAGGTTTCAACACAAAGTCAGAATAAGTGTAAGACCTGACTACACATACAAAACAGGACATTCTGGCTAGAAATACACTATAAAAACAAACACTGAAAATGATAAATACCAGAGCTATGTTGATATCACTGTAGTGCTACTCAAAATATTCCTTATAGGGCTAGATCACACTAGATGCAGTCCAGTACATTTTTATTTTCTGCATCAAAAATGCATGCACAGTGTTTTCCATGTGGTCCAGTAGTTCACACCAGTGCAGTCAGTTCCAGTCAGTTTCCAGTGCGGAAAAAGAAAAAGTAGAATGTGCTGCATTTTTTCTGCACTGAATCATACTGGAACATAGCAAACTGCATCACAACTGCACCGGCACTGCATGTGGTGTGAACTGTAAGCAAAAACTTATCTGGAATGCATCCAGAGTACATTTTTGTGGTGTGAACTGGCCCAGTTGCTTCACTAAGTGCAGTAATATGCAACAGTATACATTCTGTTCTGCCAACGTCCAGATCTGGGCTGTAGCCCTCTGTGTCCTGATGATCTTTATACCCATGTAAGGGCATTGCCATTTTTTTCCCCTTAAAGGTTAAATAGAAACATCGAAAAGTAACGGCAGAAAAAGACCAAGTGGTGCATGGAGTCTGCCCGGTTTTTGTTTTGTGTGTCTGTGTTTTTTTTTTTATTTGGGGGGGGGGGGGGGGGGGGGGTGGTGTTGTTTTTTACGGTTTCATTTTCAATTTTCAATAATTTTTTATGGAAAGGTGTTTTATAAAAGACAAAGCGTAAGCAACATTATCAAGTGGCGGAGGTACAACACCACGTCAGATAGCATCATAAACATGTAAGGACAAAATACAGCAGAACATATATGAGAAATATAGAGCTACCATCTGACACAAGCTCACAGAGTCCAACTTCATACACAAAAAGTGGTGAAAATAGAACACCTGGTTTAAGGCAAGGTGAGTGTTCTCGTGGTCCTAGTGCCTATCCTTCCCGTTATAAACGACTCAGTTGTTAACATTTTTGTCCAAGTACAGATCTAGGCTTGTCCCAAATAAATTATTTATATAAGTGACTTCTGTTTGTCTTTAGATATGTTGGAAGTAAATTGGATGCCACCTGAGACACCCAAGCCACTGGTTGAGGAACACTGAATTATTATATTTTGAATGAACCTCTCCCCTGAGAAGTGTCAAATTTAACACTTTCAGTGCTTGCTTTTATACTGTACCTCTAGTGCTCTCACCCACTGACTACACAATCAATTAAGTCTACAGTCTAGTAGTTCTTACACAGTTCTATTTTTGTCAGCTTGCCATGAACATGTATGGAAACGCCTTTTAGAATGAATAAGCCACTTAATGGCTCAGATATTTTTTCCATGAAGCCCATCAAACAAAATACACCAGGACTGCTTGCTGAGAAATCATTTAAATGAGGGACAAAATATCTTTAAACCTTTCGCTGCCAGAGCCGTTTTTTGCATTTTTTGCACACATTTAAAAAAATCATTTTAGGCCTGAAGCTTACACAAAACCCACAAAACATATATTTTCTGAAAGCAGACACCCTAGAGACCAAAACAGCGGTAGTTCCAATTTTTTGTATGTCACACAATAATACCGAAAAAGTCTGGGAAATGCTAAATTTCAGTAAAAAAACTCACTAAAGTGAATTTTAGAGCAAGTGCAATAAATTACCCACATTTTTGTTAAATATAAATGATTAGGTTGCACGAAGTAAATAGATACCCATCATGCTAAACCTTAAATCTGTGTGCGCATATTTATTTATTTCAGGTACTTATATAGCGCTGTCAATTTACGCAGTGCTTTACATATATATATATTACACATTCACATCAGTCCCTAACCCTCAAGGGGCGTACAATCTAAGGTATATGAAATGGTGACAAACTTCACTACCCTATATTTTCTATAGGCAACGCTTCAAAAGCCCCTATAGGTCATCGTATAGTGTTATGGAGGAGGTCTTGTGCTAGAATAATTGCTCTCACTCCAGTGTGCGCGGTGATATGTAAAATTGTGTATTGCAATTTCAGGTTTCCTCCCACACTCCAAAGACATGCTGGTAGGTGAATCGGATCCTGTCTAAATTGTCCCTAGTATGTGTATGTATGAATGTGAGTTAGGGACCTTAGATTGTAAGCCCCTTGAGGGTTAGGGACTGATGTGAATGTACAATATATGTATGTAAAGCGCTGCGTAAATTGACAGCGCTATATAATTACCTGAAATAAGTAAATAAATAGGCGTTTTCATGTATAGGCACCCTGCCGTGTGCATTTACATTCATATGTGCGTATGGGGGGGATGTACTTGGTGTAACTTTATGTTTATTTCTTTGCAATTAAAAAAATTTTTTTTTTTTTTTTTCAATCACATAGGAGACACAAAGTCCCCTATGTGATGAATTTTTAGGTGACAGGTTCTCTTTATTGAGACATGCAGACCCACTCAATGTATTGCAATGCAGACAATGCAGCGTATTGACAATGTTAAAAACTTTTACAGATCTTCTTCAGGAAGAAGAATATGCAGGGCTATGGGAATTGTTAGAGAACTGAACTATAACTAACTATATAAAAGTATATGTCCTAACTTTTCTCCACTGTTTTTTCTACAGTTATAATGCAGCGATTATACACAGCAGGACATTCTAGTATTAAACAAGACGACCTTGCAGTTGGGTGCAAGGCCTACCGTATTTTTCGCTCCATAACATGCATTTTTTTTCCCCAAAAAAAGGGGGGAAAATGTCAGTGCGTCTTATGGAGCGAATATAGAGCAGCCGGTCCGGTATTTCCACCGCCGCCATGTCAGAATACCGGGCTGGCCGCTCAGCTCTGCAGTGGGACCTTACCTGTTCCTCTATCCAGCGGCGCGCTGTCTTCCCGACTTCTGTAGTGTGCGTGACAGCCGGGTCCCAAGTGCGCATGCGCAAGAAGCGGTGCTCTTTGTGAATGGTAAGGCAGTACCTGGGACACATGACAGATCCCAGAAGCCGCCGGACCAATCACAGAGCGCAGCGCTTCTCGCGCATGCGCACTGGGCATCCGGCTGTCCGCCGAGCGCCCACACTACAGAAGCCGGGAAGACAGCGCACGGCTGGATAGAGGAACAGGTAAGATCAAAGAAAAACTGCGGAAGTAAGAGCGGGTACCTGTCAAATTCAGGTACCCGCTCCCCCTCCCTCCCCAAAGGTCAGCAGTCATCTGTGCTGTCCGCAGTCTCTGGTCATCCCTGTGCTGTCCGCAGTCTCTGGTCATCCCTGTGCTGTCCCCAGTCTCTGGTCATCCCTGTGCTGTCCCCAGTCTCTGGTCATCCCTGTGCTGTCCCCAGTCTCTGGTCATCCCTGTGCTGTCCCCCCCAGTCCTGCTGTCCCCAGTCTCTGGTCATCCCTGTACTGTCCGCAGTCACTGGTCATCCCTGTGCTGTCCCCAGTCTCTGGTCATCCCTGTACTGTCCGCAGTCACTGGTCATCCCTGTGTGCTGTCATCCGCAGTCTCTGGTCATCCCTGTGCTGTCCGCAGTCTCTCTGGTCATCCCTGTACTGTCCGCAGTCTCTGGTCATCCCTGTACTGTCCGCAGTCTCTGGTCATCTCCTCTACTATGTCTGCAGTCCATTAGTTCAGAATTTTTTTTTCCTGTTTTCTGCCTCTAAAACCTAGGAGCGTCTTATGGTCAGGTGCGTCTTATGGAGCGAAAAATACGGTACTTTAATAAAGTTTGATATACATGGATGCTTACTTAAAAAGATTGTCCATCAGGTATCGGTAGTTAGGCTGATTGCTCTCAGGCATAAAACACACAGCAAACACAATAATGGCATTAAGGCCATCTCCATAATAACCTAAAAAAGAAAAAGAAAAAAACCCACACGATAAGCATGAAATTTTCACATTTTTATATGCGGTATAACAACATGATATTCACTCCCTAATCCTATTGCTTCTAATGTAATAAAAATATTGACAGCCAATCTAAGATGATATCATCAACTACAGTACCAGTAAAATTAATGAAGCTACATTTTAGGCAAACTGCTAAATATAAAGTTGATATACACATGAGAGCGGTCTTATCTACACTAGAGTGGTCTATATCTGCTAAACTATTTCAACTTCTGACTAGCTGCTTTTGTGATTCATACACTTCTACCAAACAGCACAGCCAGGAGGGTGACACCACCTTCTCTTCCGGCATTATGTAATTCAGTGGCGTTACCTCATCTACAGCCCGCATATTGGACAAGGAAAGTAAATGGAAAATGCATTTTAAAAATACATACTTGGATCTCTATGAATTTTAAGTCTTCAGAGTCTTGTAATATTCAGCAAGCTGAATTTCTTCTGCCTGTGTTAAAAACACAGCAAATTGCATGGAAACTGAGGCAGTGTGAAAGAGCCCCAAAGGGTATACTTTAGACCAGCCTTTTTCAACCAGGGTGCCCAGGCAACCGGGGGTGCCTTCAGGCTTTTTCAGGGGTGCCTTGGCAATATGCTTAAAAACTGCCCAAAACTTGTATACAAGCCAGCAAGTGGATCAAGCCTGCCTTTCAGTTACACAAAACCATAGGTTTTCACTGCGCACTTTTATAACCTGGCAGCTGCCGGCATCCTAACAACCAATTACATCATTAATCAATAAGGAGGACGTTGGGCGCCAGCAGAGCATCCCTGTTTGCCCCTTCCCCGCCCCTCTGTCAGCAGTGGGGTCAAATTAGCTGAGTGAGGGAGATAAACGAAGGGAGAAACACTGGTATAATAGTCAGTACCAGTTTGCAAAGAAATATTTGCTATGGAAGAACAAAACACCTTTAATGTTGAGTGTACTACACATATGGATGTTGCTGCATTATGTAAAACTATTAGAATCGTTTTTTTACATTTTTGAATGGGGTGCCTTGAGATTGTGCAGCATGTTAAAGCAAGACAAAATCTCAACTCATAACTGGGGCAGCCTTGTCTACATACCCAGCAATTTAGGCATGAAAGTTTTTGGAATCATACTGTATGTAGCAAGTTAAACTGTGTATTAAATAACATTTTATACAGTTATGTTACATTCTGGGCAAACACAATGCAATGTTATCTTTTATTCTCTGAAAACACTGTCTTCATTAAGGTTTCATGAGAGAACCCTCAGTCTGAATTAGCAACCATTTGGAATTCCCTTGATGAATGGTGGTCAGCCTAGGCTATGTTGACCTTTACTGGAATGCAAATAATGCAGCCTATTTGCTGGTCAAAAGAAAACAAATATAGCTCAGGGCTATTGTAAAATCACTAAGAAGACCCCCACCATTCAAAATATATTTATTCAAGCATAAAAGGCTCCTTCCTTGTATAACATGTACAGACTGGTAAAGATTCCTTGGCACATCTTGTCCAATTAGGTCAGCAACCCCCATTGCACAATGGCCTGTTTGAACTAGATGGATTGACATTTAGAACCAGCAGTCTGTCAAGACAAAGCATTACAAACACAGTTAAAGAAGAACCCCCAAGGAAAAAAATGTCTTAAAACCAAGTGCACACAAGGAGTTAAGTGCAACTAGGTGTATGCCACTTCCTAATGGTCTCTTTTTTTATGGTCAGTTCACACCACAGATACATTCCAGATACATTTCTGCATGCAAGGTTTTCTAAGCATTCCAGTATGTTTCTGATGCTCTTGATGCATTCCCCCCCTTTTTTTTTCCTTCATGTTAAATACAGACATGTGCATTCTGATGCATTGCAGTACAGTTCTCTGCAGAAAAAATGCTGGATGTTCCACTTTGTTTTCTGCACCGGACTGCATCTGGTGTGAACCAGCACTTACACAATTTAGTCTTCTTTCACACATAGTGCCGTATGCTCTAAACGGCAAGGGATTCATGAGCAGATCCCCTGCTGAATCTATGGCCAGTCTGTGCCTGGTAGACATGGGCAGGCTCATGACAGCTCTATGGGCAGCCTGATGTAAACTGAATCCTCTTTCCATTTACATCAGGCTACCTCCAACCTGTCACATTTAGGTCCGAGGGGTGGGGGATGAGAGGGGGGAAAGAACAAAAAGGGGAAAGTTCTTTTTTACCAGACCTGGCCAGATTTGTAGATAGACGGGTGTAAATTAACACAAGCCCATTTACACCTGCCTGTCTGGTTGCATGGAGCTTCCAATGAGGTCCAGCTGAAAAACAGATAGGCGGACCTGATTGGATTACCTGTGTGAAATGGACCTTACTGTTTCATTAAGCAACTGTATACTTCCAGTGCTCCAAAACCCCAGCTACGGGTGTGCTATACAGCAGCCATAGCGCCATTTACAGCTGAACTGCCTGTGTCAAAATCTAAAGCTTTCTGTGAATGAGCAGGGCAGAGGAGGGGCTGGCAGAGCAGCTGTTTTGTAAGAGAACTGTATCTCTCCTCTTGGAGTAAAAGCTATAATAGCAGTGATCAATGAACCAGTAAATTTTAAACAAAAGGGATCCAGGAGTTGGCATATACCTCCTTGCTCTCAAACAGGAACTGCAGCAGTTTAAAAAAAATAAAAGTCAGCAAATTCTATAGCTGCTGGCTTCTAAGAAACAGACACTCACCAGTCCAGGAGTCCAGTGCTGTCTTCAACCAGGCCACTTCTTGCCGGTCTTCAGATCCCTGATGCCGAACACAAGGGGGTGCCACTAAGTGCAGTATTAAGAACAATTTTAATGAACTCAAAGTATTAAACTCACATGTATCAAAGGGTAGCAAGCACTGTAAACTGGATGACTCCAGCAAGAGAGACCATCACTCCTGTATCACATCAGCAGCAGTATGGACGCCAGCATTAGGATGTACCAGCAGTGGTGGATGGAGCCAGGGCCGGTAGGGGAGCTCGCTGGACTTCCATGCTTTACAGAGGCACCAACTTCTGGGATCGTCATTGACTGTGGAATCGGAAGTGACGTCACAAACCTCCGTGGACCGCACAACTGGAAGTTGCATTAGAGGAGGTGGATCCCGCAGCCTTTGTCGCCTGGGTAACGCGTTTCGGAGCACCAGCTCCTTTGTCAAATCTAATAGGCTAAGGCGGCAATCATCTTTTATATTGGTGCTAAGGACTGGATGGGCGGGATGAGGGCAGTACTATGGGAACAAATGCATTCAAGAAGATTGCTAGAGACTGAACAGAGCCCTTGCATACAATAAGTAAAAACAAATCAGGGCACTACATACAGACAATGTGATATACAGGGCAGCACAGTGGCTAAATGGTTAGCACTTCTGCCATGCAGTACTAGGGTTGTTGGTTCGAATCTCAACCATGGCACCACCTGCCTGGAGTTTGCATGTTCGCCCTGTGCCTGCGTGGGTTTCCTCTGGGTACTCCAGTTTCCTCCCACACTCCAAAAATATGCCGGTAGGTTAATTGGATCCTGTCTAAATTGGCCCTAGTATGTGTACGTATGAATGTAAGTTAGGGACATTAGATTTTACGCCCCTTGTAAAACGCTGCATATATTGACGGCGCTATATAAGAACCTGAAATAAATAAAATAAATATGTACTTTGAAGGGATATAGCATTACAGTGTAAATGTATGGCAGCTAAAAATTATAGATGGATTACTAATCAATTATTATTATTGTTGCACAGGAGGTAGTAGACAACTATAATAACAATAAGTAAAAAAATTATCATCGCATTGGCCAAAAAAGACAAATCACCAATACTAAATTCCTAAAATTCAGTTATAAGAAAGAGGACTATAAACTGGCAAATTAGGACCAGGGGAACCCTTACAACCATGTCAAAAAAGGTCTGGACAGGTATAAATAAAAAAAAGGTTGTTATAATTACCCTTATTATGAAGTAAAATTCTTATAAACAGATGGGCCTGTCAAGACCGTTTTTGATATAGTTATATGGGTTCCCCTGGTTCTAATTCGCCAATTATAGTCCTCTTTCTTATAAATGAATTTTAGGAATGAAGTATTAATTGGTGACTTATGTCTTTTTTGGCGCAATACAATGATTTTTTACTTATTATTATAGTTTTTCTACTACCTCCTGTGCAACAATAATAATTGTTTATTAATCCATCTATAATTTATAGCTGCCGTGCATTTACACCTTTTTATTGCTATATCCCTTCAAAGTACATACAGTTAGGTCCATATATATTTGGACACAGGCACAATTTTAGTTTTTTTCAGGTATTTAATCAAAACATATTCAAGCCATAGTTATACAATAGATATGGGCTGGAAGTGCACACTCTCAGGTTCAATTTGGAGGAAAGGTTTAGGAATTACAGCTCTTAAGAGTTGCCATTCCCCTTTTTCAAGGAACAAAAGTAAATGGACAATTGAATCAAAAGGTGTGTCATCGCCAGGTGTGGGCTACTCCATTATTTCTTCATCAATTAAGCAGGTAAAAGGTCTGGAGTTGATTCTAAGTGTGGTATTTGCATTTGGGATCTACTGCTGTGAACATACATCATGTGTTCAAATGAGCTGTCCATGCAAGTAAAAAAAGCCATTGTAAGGCTTCAAAAACTCAAAAAATCCATCAGAGAGATTAGCAGCAACATTAGGAGTGGCCAAATCAACAGTTTGGTACATTCTGAGGAAATAAGAACGCACTGGTGAGCTCAGCAACATAAAAAGGCATGGACGTCCACAGAAGACAACAGTGGTGGAAGATAGCAGGATCTCTCTCTATGGTAAAGAAAATCCCATTCACAACATCCAGACAAGTGAAGGATACTCTCCAAGAGGTGGACGTATCATTGTCAAAATCTACAATCAAAAGAAGACTTCACGAGAGCAAATACAGAGGGTTCACCACAAGGTGCAAACCATTCATAAGCCTGAAGAATAGAAAAGCCTGATTAGACTTTGACAAAAAAAATCTAAAAAAGCCAGACCAGTTCTGGAAACACATTCTTTGGACAGATGAAACTAAGATTAATCTGTACCAGAATGATGGGAAGAAAAGTGTGGAGAAGGCTTGGAACAGCTCATGATCCAAAGCACACAACGTCATCTGTAAAACATGGTGGAGGCAATGTGATGGCATGGGCATTCATGACTTCCAGTGGCACTGGGTCACTGGTGTTTATTGATGATGTGACAGAAGCAGCCGGATGAATTCTGCAGTGTTTAGAGATATACTGTCAGCCCAGATTCAGCTAAATGCAGCAAAGTTGATTGGACGGCGCTTCACAGTACAGATGGACAATGATCCAAAACACACTGCAAAAGCAACCCTGGAGCTTTTGAAGGAAAAGAAGTGGAATATTCTGCAATGGCCAAGTCAATAACCTGATCTCAACCCATTTGAGCATGCATTTCACTTGCTGAAGGCTAAACTAAAAAGGCAGAAAGACCCACAAAGAACAACTGAAGACAGCTGCAGTTAGAGCCTGACAAAGCATCAGAAAGGAGGAAACCCAGTCTTTGGTAATGTCCATGGGTTCCAGGCAGTCATTGCCAGAAAAAGGATTCTCAACAAAATATTTAAAAAAAAAAAATGGAGATTATATTAATTTGTACTTGAGCCCATGAAAATGGAGGATTTATGTTCAATGTTCTTGAATTAGAGCTGAAAGTCTGCACTTCAAATTTCATTTGGATTGTTTAATTTTAATTTATTCTGGTGGCATACAGAGCCAAAAGTATAAAATTGTGCCTGTGTCCAAATATATATGGAACTAACTGTATATCACGCATTGTCAATATGTAGTGCCCTGATTGTTTTTACTTATTGTATGCAAGGGCTCTGCTCATGCTCTACCGATCTTCTTGAATGTTTTTGATCCCTTGATACCACCCTCATCCAGCCCATCCAGTCCTTAGCACCAATATAAAAGATGACTGCTGCCTTAGCCTGTTAAGTTTGACAAAAAGAGCTTATCGTCGCTCCGAAACGCGTTACCCAGGCGACGAAGGCTGCGGGATCCAACTCCTCTGATGCAACTTCCGGTTGTGTGGTCCACAGTGGTTTGTGACGTAAGGTTTCGCACCAAACGACGGTCCTGGAAGTTGGTGCCTCTGAAGCGCAGAAATCCTACCGGCCCTGGCTCCTTCCACTGCTGTTGGTACAACCTAATGCCAGAGTCCATACCGCTGCTGATGTGACACAGGAGTGATGGTGATCTCTCTTGCTGGAGTCATCCAGTTTACAGTGCTTGTTACCTTTTGATACATGTGAGTTTAATACCTTAAGTTCATTAAAATAATTTTTAATACTGCACTTAGACTGAAAGGGGACACAAGGGGGCGCCACTAACAGATTTATTCCATTCTCGTGGTGGAGCTGCCTAAAGGGTGCTTTTTTATAAAGAAATGGACATTATGGATTTATAAATTACTTTTATTTTATTCATTGTGATTTAGTGATTTATACTACCATTTCTCCCTACATTGAAGGTTTGTGCCATATATCTTTTGTATACACAGATCCCAGATGTCGCCACTTTGGCTGTGGGAGCAGGTTGTGACACACTGCCGTTTCACAACTGACTGCCAATGTGCATACACGAGATCCCACTGCACTGTCAGGCTGGTTCACGCAGCCTCTTTGGACAAGTGATAAATCCTAGGAGGTTGCCGGCAGGGGGGAGGGGAGTGGATGCAAACTTCCGTAATTCTCACCCAGGCGAGTACTGCAGAAGTGGGAGGAGGTACCTCTCAGAACAATCCATTACCTTGGGACAGACAAGGAGCTGGAGGAAGTCTGCAGGAGCCTGGCACTGCACCCACAATTTACTGATCATAATTGCAATGTCTTGCATTTATTAGTTTTTTTTACAAAACCTTTAACATTGAAGACTAATGTAGCCACGACATGGGAGGAGTGATAATTTGCAATATACCACAATGTTGTTTTTGGGTTTAGATATATTTTAACGCATGCATGTCTCAATTTGCTATGCTAGTTTTATTATTTATAGGTATAGCAAATATTCTTAGCTAGAGAACCCAATTCTGATCACATAAACTCTGCTGTGGTGGAGCTAGGCCTAAAATTACAAGGTTTACCCCTTTTGGACCATGTACATAAAATTGAAATGACTTTTCTAACTACAAATGTAATCTCTGCTGTCATATTAACAAACAAAGGCGGCTCACCATGAACAGCCAAAATTATAAACAGATGTTAAACATGACCTATCCTAAATTGGATCACCCACATTTTGCAATGGTCTTACCTTGAACCAAGAAGGAAGTTATCTTGAGCAAAAAAACTCAGAATACAGAAGTGCCCTAAATCACAATGCTAGCCCCATACTCTTAAGGCTACTGTACATGGTCCGAATATTGTTTAGCCTGCTGGGTTGAACAAAAAAAAAAAAAAACCTTCTGTGTGTACCCCTGCATTAGGCTCCCTAAAAAGTGCCTGCTCTTTCCTGGTTTTAAAGTGCACAATATAATTCGTATACCAAGTAGGAGCACCCAGGCTCAGTTTTCTGAAAAGCGCCCTGGGCCGAAAAAAGTAACATAAAAAGCACCCTTTTATAATAACATATTAATACCTACCTGTTTTGCCGTCCAGGTTTCTGAATTTGCGATTTTGCAGAGCTAAATCCACTAGCAGCCACATTAGCATCTTACAGTTCTAGGTGAGGATACTCACTACTGTGTCGCAGGGATCAGAGTCATAAGAAGTAAGACAGTAAGTAAGATACCCTTATTTTACGGGGGTGCTTTTTTGGTCTCAGTTGCATTATCTGCATTTCTGCCATCTCTTTAAATTTATACCCAATATCTGCTTAAGCCTATTTTCAAAATAGGTGTATACATCCTAAAAACATGAAATGGTTTCAGTCTTCAGGCCAGAAGATCTCACCTCCATGACTGATAACTTTTTTGTAAGGTTCTATAGCAGACATGTCCACCCTGTGATCCTGTTCTCCAATCCTGAACATACGCCAGCGTCTGCTCTCTTCCTTCTCTTCTGCAGCAGTGTACTCTGGAATTGATCCCTTTGGAAGTACTTCAGTAGTTTTTGGTTTTGGGAGGTCATCTGTCAAATTGACATGATATAAAGATCATTCATATTATACACACACACACACGTATGAAAAAATAAATATATATTTATTTTACACACACGCTAAACAAAAACAATTTTGTTTTTAATTCCACTCCATTCACTACTTTTCTTTTTGTAGGGACCTCTGGGAACAGCATATTTCATATGTTTTCACCAATCAGCCACATCATTATGACCTCTCAACCATGACCTGTAAGTTAAGAGTTGGGATTTCCATGCATTGGACTTGATTTTCCAGCACATACCACAAAAGCTCGATTGGACTGAGATCTGGAAAATTTGGAGGCCAAGTCAACACTTCACACTAGTTGTGTTTCTTGAACCATTCTCAAATTCATCAGATCACCTTCTTCCATTGCTCCCTGGTCCAGTTCTGAGGCTCAAGTGCCCATTGTGGGTGCTTCTGGCATTGGTGCGGGTTCACCAGTTTTCCTTTCTTGGACTGGTTTTGGTAGGCCCTGACCACTGCAGTTTAGGAACATCCCACAAGAACTACAAATTTTAGAGTTGTTTGGACCCAGTCTTCTAGTAGTTAGGATTTGATTGACTTTGACAAGGGTCAAATGGTTACGCTTGCCCATTTTTTCTGCTTTCAGCACATCAACTTCAGGGACATGTTCACTTGCTGCCCAATATATCCCACTCACTTTCAGATGCCACTGTAATGTGCTAATCAATGTTATTCACTTTAATGGCCAGTGATCATATTGTTCTGGCTGATCAGTGTATATAACCAAAGCTTAAACATTATTGATGCACTTTTAAAACAATTTTAAGGATTTACCAACTTTAAACTTGTCAGAACAAAATACATTTATTAAGAAGATAGGTCTACCTGTGTAGTTTTTTGCTCACTGGGTTTACAGCGTATAACAGTTAAATGCTAGTCAGTTGTTCGATAAACAGTGATAAATAAAATTCACACCACACTGCTTCACTTAGTGGGCAAAGACTATACAAGTTAACAAACCATTTAATCTGTTTGGATTATCTTTTGTTGGCCTATTATGACAAATTTACTCCAGAAACAATGACTCTCAAATGTTTGTCTGTACCATGCTAAAGCATCACTAACAAATTCTATCCAGTCTAGTATAATAGGTGATCCACAATGCTGACAATGAGCCTTTGAGCATTAAAAAAAATACAATTCAATATTCAAACCAATGCAAATACCCAACCTCTGTCACATTGTCATTCATTTCAAAGGGGCAGAGTGGCTGCAACTAAATGTGACCGACAGATTCCTGCCAATAGAATTTGCAGATCTCCCCTATTAGCCCATGTGAATAAGGCCTAGGGGACACAGGATGAAATAATTCTGGTGGTTGATTTCAAGAGACTGAACACTGACAAACAAAGCTATAGGACAGCCCAGTATAACCCCTTTCCTTCAATCATGCTCCAGTTTTGTGGTAAAGCATTAATAGGAGTGGATCTTAAAAACAAGACTGTGAGACCCGTGCCCCTCAAAGTGGTTGTAAACCCAAAAAAAAAAATCAAAATTGAAATGACCAGTCTACCTCACACAGCATAACAGCAGAAGTAATTTGTCCATAGTCTGACAAAGAAAGGAGCAGCCAGTCATTTCTCTGCTTTCCTACAGTAAAAGAACCCGACACATGAAAAAAGATTGTGTCGCCACACCCCCTCTCCTGTGACTGACAGGCTAATTAGGAGTCCCATGCATGAGCATGAGAGAAGGGGGCACGGGTCTCGGAGTTATCCACACAGATCACTCCCGAAATAGCCTAGTTTTTGAATTACACAGTATACAGGGCCGACACACTGCACTTATCTCTACTAACAGAGGAGGAGGGGGGGATACATGCTTTCACAGGTCATCATTATAAACTGGGGGGGGGGGGAGCAATCGGCCTCCCACAGCTGCCAGGGAGAAAGCCAAGCAGGAGGATCACATTCAACCCCTCAATGAAGGGCCACTTTTAATGTATAATTATCAGGCGGTACTTTAAAGTAGGGCACTACAGTAAAAGTGCCCAGCCATTGAGGGGTTGTGATCCAAATGCTCGGCTCCCTCCCCGGGAGCTTTGGGGTTAAATCTGTGAGAGGTTTTTTGGCTTCTATTAGTTGACAATGATGACCTGTGAAAGCATGTATCCCCCCTCCTCCTCCCATAGTAGAGATAAGCACAACAGAGCAGGGTCCAGAGCTGAGTAATTGCAAACAGTTGCTTAGCTCCCTCCAGCCTATGAAAGTCTGCAGTCTCCAGTGCCTCAAATGCTGCCCAGTATTTATGGGGATAACGGTTTTCTCAGTCTCCTCAGGCTGGAGCTGACTCCTAATTAGTTTGTCAGTTACAGGAGTCACAGTCTCATGTGTTGGGTTTTTTCACTGTAGGAAAGCAGTGAGGATTTCAGAGGACTGGCTGCTCCTTTTTTGGCAGACTAGGGACAGATGACTTCTGTTGCTTTGCTGTGTGAGGTAGACTGGTCATTTCAATTTTTTTTTTTTGTGTTTACAACCACTTTAATGTACTCAGGAAATTAATTTTATGGTAAGTTAAAAATCCTGTTTTCCTAATCGTACATTAAGGAGGCTTTAGGGTTCAAGACAATCTGGGACTCCCCAACCCAAGAAAGGATTCTCGCAGGGCTGATGGCAACAGGAAGGCAACCTTCTGAGTGAGATTAGACAGGTGAGGTGGAGAGGTTCAAATAGGGGTTTCTAAAGAACAAAAATAACCAGGTTTAGTGCCCACTGTATCACTGGGGAACAATGTGAGTGACAACCTGTATGAAGGCACTTCATTAAGAAGTGAAAGGAAAGCAGTCTTTGAATAAGAATAGCTAGAGAGGAGATTTGACCCTTGATGGAACTCAAGGCTAAAATGCTGTTCCAGACCAAAAACGGGAGAAAATGCAGGATTCATCCCAAAGGAGAATATTTTGGGATGTAATCTCCCTGCCTCGCACCGTGAGAATGAAGATTTCCAGGTTTGATAAACTTTTGAAAGCTAAGAAATTCTTGCAAACGCTTTAAGATAACCAACTGGGAAGGTTCCTATCCTTAACATAAGAAGGATTTCTTTGACTCCAGGGCTGGCCCCATAACCCACTAGGTGGTCAGAACAAGCTCAAATTTGGGGATCAAGCACATGCAAAAATCCAGAGAGTTCTTGCCCCATACAGTTAGAATTGTGATTTACAATAGTCTGGAGTGAAATTGAAAATATGTAAACGCTTTGAAAAATATCACCATTAGACCCAGAACTCTGATGCAAAGGAGGAGGGTTGGTTGGCTCGTTCTTGGACTGTAATAATCAGTTACGGAAGTGGAGAGTTTGGAGTTTCTCCTATAAAAGGAAGGCACCAGACGAGAAGTATCCAAGAAAAGACATAGGTACTCCCAAGTGACTGGTTCCAGTGTGGACTTCAGGAGGCTCAGAATCAACCCAAACCTCCAGAGTTTGAACAGTTTGTTGGACAGTGAATCTGTGCTGACTGTTCCCTCAGTAGGAGGCCATCCAGATATTCCATTATAGGAATACCCTAAAAGCAAAGTGTAGCAAGTACAGGAGCTAGCACCTTGGGGACTTGAGACAAACAGGAAGAGCAACAAATTGGTAACCTTGTGTGCCCACTGAAAAATTAAGGAAGCATTGAAGCAGTCGAAAGATGGGAACATGCAATTAGGTATCCTTGATGTCCACAGAGCACACTGTCAATTGTTTAAAGGGGCAAAGTTCTAACTACTCCCTCATATGTGTTAGTAACTGTCACCAACAGTAGAAGCTGTTCATTTCAAAACCCTGACAAAGTGTACATCCTGTGGGTCAGTGGACCTTTTTATGCCCTTTAAAAGGGAAATGTAAGGTGCTGGATGATTATCTTTTTTAACATTGAAATAACAAAACGAAGGAAATTGCCTTCAAAACTAGGGGACTTTAAAGGCACCGTACTTAAATCACAATGCAACTGGTAAAAACAAAAGTATTTGTTATATCTCATTAAAATGGTGGAAAAAAAAAATGACCACCATGTGAAAATGTGAAAAAAATTTTTAACATGTAATTACACATCATCAACTTATAAAATCACATAGATGTAGGACTATTGGGTCCTACTAAAGAATGTTGACATGCTTCCCAGTTCACATCTGCTACATCAGGGACATCACGGGATCATCTAAAAAGTTTAAAATAGAATTTTAACAGAACACATGGCAATACAATTATCAAAATTTATAAACATAGTATGTACTAATTGTTTACAGCTTACCACAAAATTAGTTAACACGATCTAATGACAGTCAATTCTTGAAAGGATTCCATAATAAGGTCTCAGAAGCAGATTGTTGAATGTATCCTTGTTTGTTATAATGTAATCTTTATACAGGCTGGGTTCTTGGAAGATGGGGCTCTTTAAGGTCGGACACTCGGGCATCCAGCTGATGGGGAGGTATTCTCTCCCCCTTTGGGCGAGGGCTCATTCCTGGGGCTCCCACCCATTGTTTGTGTTGACTATTGCGATCTGATTAAGTGTGCATGTGCGATAGCTAGGTGCCCGCAGCAGATGTAACGTCATGCACTAACTTGGCGTCGCATAATGGCAGGTGTCAGCATCTCGTCTGCTGGGGCCATTTAGGGGGGAGGAGGTGGCAATGGCGTGTGCCACTGCAGGATCCTTGTCCTAATTGGTGACTCAGTCAGCGGTGGTGGTGAATCTCGCTGCATCCTCCAAGTCTTACCAGAAAATGGCTGAACTACCATTCTTGGTAAGCCCTAAGTGCTGTTACTGGAGGGGCGTTGTTTTGTGGAGGGCAGGCAGTGTTTGAGAAGAGTTGAGGGCCATGGTTGCATGGATTTGTTTAGCCTGTAGTGGTACACATGGGCTTGCATTGATTCCCGTGCTCTCTTCTCTATGGAGGACTATTGGGGGGGCTGCTATACATGAAAGAGGGCTTTACAATTGCATTCCCACTATTTTTAGAGCCATCATGATAATAGGGGGTCCATAGAAGGTAGGAAGCATCTATGTTCCTCTTCTTAAAAGGTACAGGTACCTATAAGTAATGTTTTCATTATTATCTTTAGTCCCTTTCCTGTTATTTCTAGAGCCACCATGATAATAGGGGGCCCCCATTTAAGACAGAATGCATTTGTGCTCCGGTTCTTAACTACTCAAGTCCGGACACTTTTACCACCTTCCTGTCCAGGCCAAATTTCAGCTTTCCGTGCTATCACACTTTGAATGACAATTGCGCGGTCATGCAACACTGTACCCATATGAATTTTTTAGCATTTTTTTGAGACAGATAAAGCTTTATTTTGGTGGTATTTATTCACCACTGGGATTTTATTTTTTTTGCTATGTAAATGAAAAGTCCAAACATTTAAAAAAAAAAGTGTTTTTCTCATAAAATTTTGCAAATAAATAATATTTCATCATAAATCTTGGCCAAAATGCATTCAGTTATCTTTTTAGTAGAAAAAAAAAAAACCCAAATTAGTTTATAACCAAAAATGATAATTTTTAAACATTTTTTTTACATTTTTATTTTTTCCTTTTTAGATTTTTTTTTTTTTTTTTTTTTTTAATACTGTCACCCTAGCAGTACAGTGTCACCATGGTGACAATGTACTACTTGTATGGGGTGATGAATTTTTTTTTTTTTTTTTTACACCGATTGCGTTTACACCCATAAAGGCTGTAAAAGCAATAATTTCTCCTTCTCTCTGGCTGCATTCTTGCAGCCACTGAGAACTACTGTGTGAGCTGTGATTGCTCACTGCTTGTCACATGGTACAAGGCTGTTGTGAATAGCCTTGTACCATGTGACCTCTGTGATCATTCACAGATTTCACACATAGTAAGCAATGATGTCAGAAGTGACATCTTGCTTAATACTCTGCATGTGATCACTGAGTGGCCAATCAGTGATCACATGATATGGACCTCGCACAGAGTCCTGTATGACGATTGGTGTTCCACTGTGTCCGGAGGACACAGCGGGGACTGGATTGCGGTGCTGCGCGCTCCTAGGGAGCGCGTACAAGCAGGGGATGGGGAGGCCGTTTATAAACAGCCACCCGATCCTGCACTGCCACCGTCCGGCCGTTTATATAAAAGGGTAAAAGGTACGGGTGTACTTATAATTGGTATTTCTATTATTAATGACTTTTGATCCCTCACCTTACCTCTTTTCCTCCACTCACTTTTATTTTCTGTGTGGAATTGTTATACTTAGAGTGCCTACTCTGTGTATTATATTGTAGCTGGAAGCGTGTGGTTGGTGGCAGTCTTCGCCTTCCCTCCCCTCTATTCGGTCCAGTGTCTGGCTTACCCTCCCCTGTACTATTCAGGGGTTGGGCTTCTGAGGCCTTATGTGTAGCTTCCTCTCAAGAACTGATGGTCATTAGATGGTGTTAACTGATGCTGTGGTAAGCTGTAAATGATTAGTACATACTATGTTTATAAAATTGATAATTATATTGCTACCTATACTGTCAAAATTATATTTTAAACTTTTTAGAGGTCCTTGATGAAGCAAATGTGAACTGCAAAGCGCGTCGGCATTCTTCAGAAGGAAACACCACCAGACATGCATCTATGTGATTTTATAAAAATTGATGAGTAATTACATGTCAAAATATTTTCTGCACGTTGGTTATGTATTTTCCCATTTTAAATGAGATATAATACATACTTTGTTTATACAAACTGCTTTGTGATGTAAGTACGGTGCCTTAAACGTCCCCTAGTTTTTATAGAAGATAATTTCCTTTGCTTTGCAATTTCTCAGTTCATTGGAATGTTGCGCCATTCGCCTATTCCCTGATAAGTGGCAAATCTAATGCTCATCTTTTTAATATACTCACTCTCTTCGTCTTCTGCAGCTTCCCCATTGGTATCTGGGAGCTTGATTTTGGATGTGAACCTTCTGGCTCTTAGGGTTAATGTGGTAGAATTGAACCTGGTGTCCCAGAGCAGTTGGTTCCCGTTTCCTTGAGGAATCCTATGTCCCTTGACTTTGACTCTGTTGGACATCACTTTGGTGCTGTAAGACCTTCACCTACGAGGTTTATGAATTCTCCAAGTGTTTTAGTGGATGAGTCCTGCCCATCCTCCTGCCCTCTGACATTACATGCATTAGTCTGGGGTTGTAGCTTGCCACCATTACTGCCTACTTTTGTAGGGGTACCTCTGTGCACCATAACATTCTCTTGTTCAGTCTAGCGGACTTCAGGGTTGGTACCCTTGTGGTCGTCTCCAATTCTTAGGACCTTTGGTTATCACCTTGAGATACTGTACTGGAGGCTCTCTGCACCTTTTATATCTCCCAGCAAACAAGTCACGGTGGGCTGGCAGTGGAACAAGTCTAGGAATCCACATTGTGCTTCAGGAGCAGAAACGGAAGAGGGAGGGAGCTTCAAGGCTGAATGGCAGGAAAGAGCATTGTGCGGGCACAGCCTCCTACCTAACAGATAACATTGGTACTCTATCCCTCAGCTTTTGCACTTATTGAAAAAAAAAACAGCAGTGATGGAACTTGAAAAGGTGTTCAGCAGTGCAAACACTGATATAGCCATCAATGCTTCAGCCTGACTGGCTTCATTCAGTCTTTAGAGCCTGGATTATGCCAGAGGCTGTGCCATGGGTCTTGACCCAGAAAGCGTTCTGCGATAACAGAACACAAAAGGTATTTAAAGTACCACAATGCAGAGCTCAGTGCCCAAAGGTCACATTCCAGTGCAACTCCAAAATTCTCCAGTCCAACGGGTTGAATTTATTCCCGAGGAAATGCCAATCCAGACAGCTCCATACAGAAACTAGTTTAAAACAGCTTGTAGAAAAATCCTAACTGAAGAAAGAGGTAATCATGGCTAAAGAGGTAATCATGGCTAAAAACAAAAATGGCTTACAAAGAGGTTAAACTTTTCGCAGCAAAACAGAGAAAAGATATACATCTTCCTAGACACGTGCTGCGTAGGAGGGGTTATAATGGCCGGGCTTACAACTTTTCTGTTTGCCAGTGTCCAATCCTCCTGAGGTTGGCAGCATATCCCAACAGTTTCATTATTCCTGTATCTCTAATGTACAATGGAAAAGGTATTCATGCAGTTTTATACGAATAGTTTAGAATACACTTTGGTGCCAGACTCTTACTTCTTTCTGCTGCAAAGCTAACCTGTCACGTAAGGGGTAAGCGAAACCAGTGCATTAACATTTAAGAATACCTTTTCAGCAAATTGGTTGTTTCACAACACCTTCAATGATGCTGTTATGGCTTTTTTCCCACAGAGAAGGGATCAACTGGCTCCAAAATAGAGATTTTTTAAAGAAATGAAATATGTCTGCACACAATATCGAATCCTTCCCACGCTAAGGTTATCTTCTAAATGCAACCGACTAGGACGAGCTGTACTGCTACTATAGAATAGTGCTGTTCATATTGAATGATATACTTTTTAGTACAGCTTACTATCAGAAGAAGACACACATAAAGACTAGAAATAATAGTTATAAGAAATATACAAGAGTAATTTATAGTCGTTGCTGCAGTACAAATTGGCAGATCATTCATTTTTACCTTCCCATTCAAATTCATTGCTGTTCTCCGATGGAGTATCTAGATCATCTAAATCCAAGTCTCCACTTTCATCTAAATCCTCAGATAAGATGGAGCCATCACTGCGATCCAGTGTTAGACTTAGGTTGGGTGCTAGGAGTTTTTTCTTCTTTTTACTGCCATTGATTTCAAGTGGACTGGGAACTGAGAAAGATGATAGAAAATAAATATAATTGATATTAATCACAAGTTGGGCTTTATTTGTATAAGCAGCAAACTGTGTCTTGAAGACGCAAGCTCAGCACTCTGCAATTCTTCAGCAGCTAGATAGGATTTTCTATTCCACTGAGAGGTCAATTCATTGCCAAGGATGAATAGGGCTGTCATTCAGATTCAGTTCAATGAGCACCAGCAAAATAATGGCATGTGCAAGGAGGCACTCCCCTACATTTTCTAACTGCTGATGTGCATCTCTGTGCTCATTTATGCTGTTTGAACAACAACTCCATTTATCCACAGAGAAAATCTGCCCATGTTCTCTCTAGAAAGTGCGCAGAGGTGAGCTGCAACTGCAAGATTCAGCTCCTAGCCCATCTAAATGTGCCTTTAATCCTTTAACACACATGAACTGTGACAGCCGTGTTAAAAGTGATGCAAAAGCTTCAATATTCTATACCACAAAAGCAGACTTTAAAAACAATGTATAATTATAAAGTAATGCATTTTTTTCTTTAAATAAGGACAAGAGTACTGATTGTTTGCAAAATGCAATGGTTCAGCTTGTGCATCACTTGCTCACTATGAAATAACAAGACAGCGAGTGCAAAAAGAGTGAAACTGCTGAACATGAAAATATGTTCAACAGACAATAAAGTAAAAGCAAATGCCATAGTAGTGGTAATGTGCGACACAGAAATGTTCTTGCATTGAAGCGGTATTTCCAGCATCAGCCTCATAATGCTTCTTACAGGACAATAAAAGAATAAATGGCACTCCAAGGGAACCACTGCATAATTAACAGTGTCCAAAGAGGAATGCCAAGGGCCTATGTATACAGGAGTCTGTGGGAACCACAAGTCAGGATTTCTCAGTAATCAGTGCTGTTCAAGGACAGAAGCAATGACTGATGGCAAAGATTAAATGGAAGATTCCTGCGTGTTGACTTACTAAAAGAAACTAGGCTGGGCATTTTGCAAGTACAGTTGCACTCATTTTCCCCAGAGCTTAGTGTGAAGTTTCACTTTGTAAAGAATACCCAATCAGGCGCAAGCAAAAAAGAAAAAGAAACAAAGCATTTTTGCTTGCACATGATTGGATGATGGAAATCAACAGAGCTTCACCACACTCACCAAGCTCTGGGGAAAATGAGAGCAACTGCACTTGCAAAGTGCAAAGTCTATTGGCCTTTAGTAAATCAACCCCTTAGAGTCCATAGCAGAGGTAGGCAACCTTAAAGAGGTGGAGATCTACCTGAACAACATGGGAGAAGTCAAAGATGACCTACACAGCATCGCCTTTTTGCACCTGATTTAAACCTTTAATTGCAGTACTACCGTGTCGCAATAGTTTGCATTGCACGGCAATCATGGGTTAAAATTGGGTGGTGAGGAGGCAACATATCGTCAACTCACCACCTGTCAAACACACTTGGATCACTTTTCAGAGGAGCAGCAGTGCAGTTTGCACTTGTAAATGAGCCTTTAGTTGAATTCAGAAACAGCACTCTCAGGTCTCGTTCACACAAATTTGGGGGGTGGTAAAAACCCTGCAGTTTAATCACCCCCAATAGCTACTGAGGCAACAGCCAAAGGTGTACACATGCCACAGCAGGAATTAAACCCTCTCTTGCTTTTGGTGGGTGCTACCGACTGCCAATCGTGACCAGAGGATTTACCCCCCTTCCTGACCAGGCCATTTTTTTTGAGTTACGGTACTTTAACTGACAATTTCGCAGTCATGCAACGCTGCACCCCAATGAAATGGATGTCCTTTTTTCCCCTACAAATAGAGCTTTTATTGGTGATATTTGATCGCCTGTGCGCTTTTTTTTATTTTTTGCGCTATAAAAAAAAAAAAGACTGACAATTTTGAAAAAAATATATATATTTTTTGACCATTTTGCCAAATAAAGTGGCAAGATGAATCCAGCTAATGGTATAATAATAGTCAAATGAGGTACATTGCCTATACCATTGGCTGGTTTCATCTTGCCACTTTATTTGGTTCCTATATTGTATGGTTATATTTGAGACCCTGGCTTGTTTAAGTACCTGACTTTTTACTGCTAGCGTGCCATACAGGTGGGTTTTTTTTTGTTCTTCTGATATGGCAAGTACATCATCTCTAATTACTCTATTCCATGAATACATGGTTATTTTGCAAGCCTAGCAATGTCTCAACAAGCCCCCACTTGTGATTATTCCCATTTTTGTGTATGTGGGGTTCCTATGTCCTTGCTGGAAGTGGATAGTTTGTATGACTGTTGTGAGTACTGGCCAATTTATATCTGTTTTATTCATGCATTTTTGGGATGTCTATGTTACCTGCTGGTGGAGTCTTCTATATTTCCCACTGTAGGATTTTTTCATACTATATTTGGCCTTTGAGTCTCTTTTGGTCCGCCTCGCGCTCTGGCCTCCTATGCCTGCTCTCCTGACTTCCTTGCCGCTGATCCGCCATATCTCCACGTAAGCCTAACATATATTTTCTGATTATATGTATTTCTATGTGCGTGTTTGTATACTTAATTTGTATAGTTTTACATGCAGTAGCACTAATCTCCCTTACATTCAAGTTACAGTCCTGAAGAAGCCAAATGCACAGGCGAAACGCGTTGACAATGCTTTCATAATTTGTATGTTAATTATTGTATTTATGTACTTCGTGATCAACACGTATGCAAGGAAGGCACTTTTTTACTAATTATGTTTTTCTTTTCTTGGCCCCTTTTTGGGGTAGGTTCGTAATATGAGTCCTATTGAATATATGACTCTTATGTCAATAAATGGCTGTATGTATTTTACTGTATGGTCTCTTACTGTGCCCAAACAATCCAATAATTTTGCAGTACTTATTGCTTGGCTTTTTTTCTTTAGTTTTCAGCAGGATTTAGCACTAGGAATCTTTTCTATTAATTTTTTTTAAGCCCAGTGTATTGCTTCACACTGGCCTGAAAATTTCTTTCCTACTGCTGACACCACTCTGGAGACCGGTAGCCAGGATAAGCGGTGGAGTGCAGTTGGTATCACTTTGCATGGGACCGAAACCAGCACTATAGCGAAGGCATGAGCTTAATCACCTCTTGCTCCCTACTACAGCTTCAACTTTACAGGTAGTCCCTCTGCATTGCACTCTGTTTGATGCTTTGAGATGGCAGGAGAGCAAGCCCACCTGGTTACAATCTACTGGTAGATTGTGATCTAGAAGGTTGCTGACCCCCAATCTACAGTACACAGGTATTGCTGAATGCATGCAATGCAAATGAACAAGTCAGTACATTCACCTACATCATCATGGCTTCTAGGTGCTGCTGAGAGACATCAATTCAATCAACTTGATTTAATTCATCAAGTAGTAGCATAGCATGTTTGAGAGATTCTAAAATAATCGGAATTTGGAAGGGGATTGGGAACCCTACAGATACTTATGTTTACCAGCCTTATTCTACATTGACATGGGGCTCTGGAAAGTGATGGACTCTTAACTGAATCAAGGTAAAACCTGTGGCGCACTAAGAGCACTACTTTGACGTGCCTGCTTTATACTTTTTCAATTGCACATAGGATGCACCACTCCCAACAGAAACTGTATCATAAAATAAATGATGTCCACTGCCAAGCAAAACAAAGACATTGCTGTGCAAACCCACAACTCAAATGCTGAATTAAAAAAAAAAAAAAAAAAAAAAAAAAAATGCCTCGCCGTGGATGATGCGATTGCATTATACACTGATCTGTGGTTGGCAGGAAGCAAGACATTTAAAAACCATGTCACAACCAAGTAATATAGAAGCCACATCAGCCCCTTATGAAGAATATGTCTAACCAAGTCACAAGATATCATATAGTATGTTCAAAGATAAGAATTTTATTTAATCAGAGACAATACAACAAAATTAAAGAGAATTTATAACAATCGGGATAATTCTGTCAAACATCAAGCAATTAAACTAAATGCTATTACTTTTATCAATTACATACATACCAGAGTCTCTACCACACCTGACCTCTTTTTAAATTTCATAAAAATCCAGTGGAGAGAGATGTTAAATACTACTTAAATAGAATTTCTATCCACTTAGTTGCTGGGCTTAAAGCGGTACTAAACCCAAAAGCAGAGGCGTCCCTAGGGTTGGTGTCACCCGGTGCGGTAACACTTGGTGACACCCCCTCTGACGATCCTCGCAGAATGGATTGGATCTGCAGATTGAGCATAATGGATCGGACTCCAATCCATTATGCTCAATCAGCAGATCCGATCCATCCTGCGGGGATCGTCGGCTTTCTTTACAACTTACCTTTCTTGAAATGGGTCCGGGTGTAGCGGCAAGATGTGTCTCCCCTGAAGCAACTGCGCTTGTCCCGGTTTCAGGCAGATCAGTTGATGATAGTATTAGTTCTATCATCGATTGATCTGCCTGAAACCTCTGAAATCTCTGTACATGCGCAGTTGCTTCAGGGGGGACATCTACATGGGAGACACATCTTGCCATTACACTGGTGTCACACCGTATAGGTTGCATGCCGATGATCCCCGCAGGATCGGCATGCAACCTATATGGGGTGACACCAGACCCGCTCCAAGAAAAGGTAAGTTGTAAAGAAAGCCGATCGGATCCATCCTGCGGGGATCGTCGGCTTGCTTTACAACTTACCTTTTTGTGGAGCGGGTCCGGTGTCACCCCACGCGGTCAGTGTCACCTGGTGCGGACCTCACCCCCCGCACCTGCCTCGGGACACCACTACCCAAAAGTAACCATTATTTTACAGCTTACCAATTCCTAGATGAATGGCTGCATTAGTTTTCTTTTTTAAACTATTTTTGACTGATGATCCAGCCAGTAAGTCGGTTTTTAAAAAGGAACAAGCTCTCTTCCAGATAACAACAACATGTCTGGTTTCCTCTGAACCCTCCAGTTTCCCTTTCACAGCCAGAGAAATACTAATCGGTTAATCAGTTAATCAGCTTCTACTTAAAGCTGAT